TAGGATGTTTTCTTAGTAGTAAAACGGTGAGCTCAGATTTTTACGTGCTTTACTACATAAGAGTACTTTGCATCAGATGGTGTTCAGGCTGGTGTTATTTCCTCTCTTAGTCCTATGTCCTTCCCTGTCCTATAACACTTCTCCCTCAGTGCTCCTTGGACCATTTTATTATTCTACCTAGATGGATGGCATTAGAACATGAGTTGCTAACAGACAGACTCACTCAGAAACAGAGATACATATAGGAGTAGAAAATGTTGGCTAAAATACAATAACTATTGTGTCCTGGCTAAAACCAGATATGTATCTTGCAGCTATATTATCCATTATATAAGATTCCCTGCTCTCATACACAGAGGGCTTGGAGGCACGACTTGAAACCGCGCTACCAGGACTTCAAATTAGTTTAATATAGCTTGTTGGGGGGATGGATGGGCAGGACTGCAAGCACTATAACAGCTTCAACTAGAAAAGCTACAATTTCTGGGGAAATTATGTAACGTGTTCTTGCCTCCACCAGTAATCTACAACTAGGGATCGAGCGATTATCGGTTTTACCGATATTATCGGCCAATATTCTATATTTTCGGCAATATCGGTATCGGCCACTAAAGATAACGATTTTGCTATTGTGAGAAATGCATTTCAACTTTTATTTATTTATATAGCACATTTAATTGCAACGTTGTTGCCCAAAGTGCTTTACAGTTACATTAAAACATACATTTATAAAAACATTGCCAGGTATACAAAAGGCCCTGTCTATGACATCACTTGCTGCTGCAGCCTTGACAGGTCAGAGTATTTTGGTGGTTGCCATCTTCAAAAGGTCGTATTTTAAAAACTATAAATCCTACAGCGAAGAGCTTTATATTGTGAGAATCACAAGACCCAGACCTACATTTTGATGCATAGTATGTCTCTGAAGTATTAAAATTGAAGGCACAGTCGCAGTTTAGAAATTGCCCTTCAAATTTGAGCTGGCTAGAGTGGAGTTTCAATGAATGTCAATAGACGGCGTGAGTTGCAAACAAATGGTCATATTGTGTAAACTATCAGGACTATGGCTTAGCCGTGGACATTTTTAGTGGCAGCAGGGATAGCTGAACGTGTTGATATAAGATTTGTGTAGGTGGGCTTGAAAATGAGGGAGTGGTGGCAGTTTAGAAATCATGTCCTGATTTTTCAGCTTTTGTCAGCTCCCACTCTAGTTTTGAACATTTTGCCATTCATTCCTATGGGACCAATTTCGCCACAAAAATGACGATATTTCGTGAACCATTCCATGAAACGTTCCACAATGTAACAGCACACCAATCGGGAACAATCCGCACGTTTCGGTATATTACTGTCTATGTAGTGTAAAAACTGTGGGAGGAGTTAGGGTGGTAAATTTGGCTATAATAATAATAATATATATGTGAGATAACATTAAGTGGTCTTGCTATGCAAAAGCACTTAATAAGATTAAGTTTTTAAAGTGCCTACAGTGTCCCTTTAGTTCTCCGATGGTGCAGCACAGTACTTTCCTAACCATTTAGACTGCAGTCCACTGTAAAAGAAGGAAGGGGGTAGGTATTTTACTGTTCCCTTGTTCAGTGCTGGCCGATGTAATTTTGCAGCTATTTCAACTTACAGAGCAGTGGTGGGATTCAGCCGGATCTCATTGGTTTGCACAAACATGTTCCTAAAGTTTAACAAGTTTGCAGAACCGGTCATTAAAATGGCAGACTGATGCGTTGGGTCCTTGGTACATGACTGAGGGCCAAAACCAGGAGGGGGGTCGGTGGCTTACCCTGAATGCTGCCGGGTGCGAGGCCCCTTCACACAGTCTGCCTAAAAGGAAGAGAGTCCATCAGCCGCCAGTCTGCAGCTCCACCAGGTGAAGAGCTGCAGACCATGTAGTAGAGATCTCACAATCTCTGGCTAATCAGAGTGTTGCCGTGAGTTACCACAGCAATGCT